TTAGCTCTGCCACCCTGCTTGTGGTCTTGCCTTCAGGGAGAGTGAAGATTTTGCATAGTTTGGATCAGACTGCCATCATTGGTGGATTCAGCTGTCCCCTGTGGCAAGTGATTTGAGTGGAATCCCAAAGGTCCCTCAAGCCTCCAAGATCTCTAACCAACTGCTGTGCCTGAATGTCCCAGGACCATATTTTAAAGACAATAACATTGTTTAGATACATTGCTTTAGAGACAATAATATACTGGAATTGGTTGCTTCCCATTAAGATGGATTAAAGCCTTAAACCAATACTGACTTTTTTTAACCCTTAGTATTCACCACAGTATCTACACTCAATGCATAAGGTACAGCTCCTAAGCTCCAGAAGTCCCCAGACTAACCATAACCACACATGGAAAAATAACAGGTCCTAGTATGTAACTGTTAGAACAGAGTTCTGCAGCGAGAGCTACTGGAACTCTGATGAGGGCAATTCTTGACCACAAGCAGAAAGGATTCTGAATAGAACTGTGAAAAGACTAATACATTTTAAAGCTGTGTGTAAGTGTGGGAATAGAAGAAGAACAAGACGGAGCTGATGAAACTGAAAAATTTTGAGAGTATTGTCAGTTGTTATTGAGGAGTTCGACTTGGCACTAGTAATAACTTGCACATAGATGTTGCTTTATGGCTCGTAGAACAACCCACATGCTTCCTTTCATCTGATAATGCAGACCAGATATGACAGATTGTTCCTATGTGTATACAATTCAATTAAAGTGTTCCAGGTCGTGGAGTTAGTGAGAGGTAGAGTAAGAATCAATCCCAGGTGCCGAGGCCCCCAAACACAGAGCTTTCTAGGGTATTAACATAGCCAGTGAGGTGCAGCCTCACATGGGGGAGATGATTTCTTGGGAAGCAGGGACACGGGATAAGCCTTGCTTAGAGGCTCTAGGGCCAGAAAGGGCTTTAAAGCAGTCTTCTCAGTTCTGGCTCCACATTAGAAATACGGGAAAAGATGCCATCAGTGGCTACATCCATGCTCAAATCCAGGAATTTTGACATCATCAATCTGGGAGCCTGGCAATGGAATTTCTAAAAAGCATCCCAGATAACTCCAACTAGGTTAGTGCCACTAGTTGAGAGGTCCTTTATGGACCTGTCCCTGCTTGAGTGTCTTTTAATGTCTTTGTCTTCCCAGACTAGGAAGAATGCCTTTGCATTCGCCCAGTCCTTATTCAGCGTGGGCAACCGAAACATTGAAATGGAAAAATCATGCATTCGTTTTAAATAGTCTAATGACTACTCAAAATTTTCTAATTTACATAACAGAAAAAGGAGCTGAAAGTGGGTGCAAAGTACAGAAACGCCCCCAGGCAAACAACAGAACTTTATCTGTGGAAACTTTACTGCCTAGGTTGCTTTGGCAAAGTCCCCTGCTCAGATTATTCCTTGGCAGTAGTTAAACCTCAAGTACTTGGTTTTGAACGGATTAGCTCAGAACCCCAAATGAAAATGCAGGGACGTTTTAGAAAAGAGCCATTAAGCATAATCCGTATCAGCAAAACTGATTATCCTGCCGTTGAAATAAAACACACAAAAACAAAAGCGAAACACAAAGAAAACCCAGTATGTTGGTGGGAACTTTGCCCACTGAGTGGAATGGTTACAGCAACAACCTTGCCTCTGTCTCACCTCAGCCCCTCAAATTGTTCATATACATAGATGATGTGGACCCACAGAGGAGCTCAGGCAAACTTAGAAGAGATTATGGCCTATGAAGAAAGCACAGCTGGCCATCATCCATTCTGCTGAGATGGCTTAATAGACACCAGCTGACCACACTGAGTATCCTGGGCTCCTTTCCCCGTGTGGGTATTGATTCGGACACATGACTTCTAGATTCTTGTCATATCTAATCTAATGGAGAGGCACAGAACATTTTGAACCCAACAGCAGATAATTGTAATGAAGTGATTCTGGCCAAGAGGGCCCATTTGTAATAATGAATTCAAATCAGATTCATGGAAGCTATAATTCAACCAAAGTGAATAGCACCTTCATTTTCCATATCATCTCTCTTACAAGAGGGCAAAATAACTCAATATTCAAATAATTATTTTTACTTTTCAAGTACCCCTGTGAAGTAGTTATGAGGAAGATAATATTGCCTCTCTTATAGAAAATGAGTTTCATCCACGTTCAAAACTTCAGTGTCATTCTTCGGCACAGTGCTTCCTAATGTCCTTCAGAGCAATCAAAGACCTGTCACAACCAAACTGATATCCCAAATGAAGGAAATCATTCTTCTCCAAGCTGTGCAATTTTTCACCGGGAAATTTAAAGGCAGACCCAGCTTTCTTGACTCCTTTGCTTTTTCTACTGTGTCTCTGACCTCCTTACGGGACTTCGATCAAGACTTAGAAACAGATTCGAGATAATTTAATTCAGGACAGCCCACATTAAAAGGGCTTTCTGTGGCTGATGGGCTTGGGTATCATTCAGTGCTTTTTAGTGATTCCGAACATGTGATGCACTTGGAACACTCAGTTTCCAAGTAATGAATCCCTAATGAATGTCTTTAAGGAGACAAAAGAATAAGAAAACATACTTTAGAATTACAACTTATAAAGCAAAACTCACCACCGAATAAAACATGGAACGTTTATCTAGGATTGGGGCCATGGGCTTCCAGAAACTGGAAGCATGGACTCTCCCTCAGAGTACTGGCAAATCAGCTGTTTGTTAAGATGGGCACAAAACCGTTAACCAAAAGAGCGAAAGAGTGTGAAAACAAAAGGAGAGAGATGGGGACATACAAAAATTGGCAAAAGGTGTTTATGTTCTTTTAAGAAACACCGTGATAGTAGTGAAATCAAATCCTTAAAAATTCAAGGAATAAGAAGACTTACTGATGAAGACAAAAAAGAAAGAAGATAATGAGTAACAGACAGAAGTATATATTATGAGAGCATCTGATAAAAATGACGGAAGAAAATAAAAGAGAAGATGACATGAGCTAGGAGAGCGAGGCTTTAAAGAGATTAAAATGTAGAAAATGTGCTGAATTTCTCTATTCTGGGGTAACTGTATAGAGGAGAGGCAAAATCAACATGAGATGTGTGCTTACTTTAAAAAAAAAATTACACATGCAATCAGGTAACAGGCAACAGTGAGGCTAGAACATGTAAGTTGTTCTTTTTTTCTGCAAAGAACAAAAAGCAACTATTCAGCTTTTCTTTTTTTATTCCCATCCCCATTCCCAAGCCCAGCTGCTCAACATTGGAATTGAAGATCATGAAAACAGGCCAGCAGCTAATAAAAATTGGTAGATCAAAGCTGGCCCTCTGCTGCTGGAATAGTCTTATTGCATCTCAGAAAGCAGAAAGCTCACGTTTTCAAGTTTCTGGTTTAACTTGGGAGGACAGAAAGAGGACAGAGGATTTCGGAAAGTTCAACACTGACATCCTACTCAACGCTAGACCTCTTTGCCCCCAGTGATACAATAGATAGTAAAAAGGTACATGGCAGCATTAACGTCCCTAAACACTATGTGACAATATGTACTGACATTTCCTTGGTTAACATGTGTAACTCATGTGCTACTCATATCTTTGAGCCAACTGGTCCACTGCAAATGCGTATTGGGAAATGTTCCCTGATTCCTCAGGGAACCTTCTTTGAAGCAATGAAATAGGGATATTACACTTTAGTCTGGGGCAGGCTGGGCAATACCAACATGGCCTGGACTTTTCCCTTATGTCAACCAGGAAGGGACTCCCTATTTGCTTAGGGCTTCTGAGAAACAACACACAGCATTCTGAGACCTGTTCTCTAAACTGAAAAGAAGGTCCAGCTAGAACCACCAAAGTGACAGAATCCAACCTTCACCCTTGGGCTTAGGAAAGAATTCCAGTATCCAGAGACCTGTCTTTCCTCTCCGAGGGAGAGGCTTGCCTAGATGCAGGAAAGGTTCCACTAGGAAAGCCAAGGGAGAAACAGGAAAAAACCCCACCCTCACACTCTCCTTGGAAAAGCCAGGCATTTTGGCTGCAGAATCTGGGTCAGGATGTTTTATCTTCACCATAACCATCAAAGTCATAGGCAGGGCAAATGCATTCGCCTTGTGTACGTCGTGAGGCATAGTTAAGCTGGGACGTCCCTGAATCTGTCTCCTAGGACCAGAACTGCCTCATTAAAGGGATAAAAGATGATATCTGCTGAGCTGGTGGAAAGTGGTGGCTGCATTTTTATTAAAGTCTCTGCTGCAGCAAGCCCAGTCCCTAAAGGTTCATATTCCACGATTCTCCACCTCTCTGCCTGGAGCATGCAAGTGATTCTCTGTAACTCATTAAGGTAAAACAAAAAGCTCTCCTATTGTGCTTTTCACACAGGAGTGATGCTGTTGCATAAAAGCTACATGTTTCCTTTCCTTGGCCCCAGTCTGCAAAAATAAAACTGCTCTCATAATTTACAATAGGGGCCCCAGGAGCACCACACAGGTTTGGCACGAGTGCTGGGTCTTGAGCAGACTCACAACGGGCTGTGGCCTGGCACTGGTAATTCCACAGCCTTACATTTGAGGTGCATCTCTGATAAGGGCTTAGCCTGGTGTTCCTGAGGATTATCCTGCCTCATCACATACCTTCTGGCCTGTGACAACCATCCAAGGGGCACAGGCTAACCACCCAGCGTTTCAACTCCATGCCCTCATGTTCTCATCTTGGTGCCCACGCTGGAGAGAATCTAGCCTGTCATGGCTTCATAGAGCCATGGAGTCCCACATGTGGACTTCAAGATTCACGCTTAAGATCCCGGACCAACAAAGCCAGAGCAAACGACAAACCTGTCCAGGGGCACGGCAGTCGGCACCCACAACAACGCGCAAGCGAGCGCCCCACGGGCCCGCACAAGGCCCTCTCGCGCTCCCATCCCTCACGGAGCCTTTGGCCCCTCTCCCGTGCCCTCCCCGGCGACCACAGCCCAGGGGCTCGGGCCCCCGCGGAAGGACGGTTCCCTACCTGAGGGTGGCGCTCTCCCCCTGCCGGACCGTCACGTTGTCCATAGCTTTGGGGAAGGTGGCATCTCCGCTGCGCACGGGCACTCCTGTGGGTACAAGGAACAGCAGCCTGAGAGACACGACCACGAGGCACTTCCAGGGCAGGAACAGGTACCCACAGACCCCCATCCTCGACAGCCACAACTTCCCAGAACTCCGGCAGCCGCACGGTCCTGGTCCCCCACCCCGCGAGCACCAGCCGGCTAGGGAAGCTGTGCGGGGAGGCGGGAAGGGGCAGAGCTCGCCAGGAGCAGGGGGAAGGAGAAGAGAGGAGTCCAGGAGCTCCGGAGTCTAAGAATTCTTCCTCAGATCCTGCCTCAGCTTGCCAGCCTAGCAGAACCAGATGCCCCCTCCTGCATCCAAAAAGAGCTTTCTCGACGCTCCCCTGGGGAGGAGGGAGGCAGCCAGGAGGGGAGAGGAGGCAGCAAGGTGCGGGGATGAAGGTCACAGATTGCGCTTTCTCTGTCTCTCTCTTCGAGACGCGACTTTAAGATTCAGTTGGGCACGTTCTGCAGTGCTCTGGCATCAAAAGTTTATAACCCAAAGAAGAAGGCAAGTGTCTCTGACATACAGGCGCTGTCATAAAAAGCTGCGGCTTCAAGAAGAGGAGGAAATGTTTTATTAGATCACACACATGTACAGATGTACGTGTCCCCCAGCCCCAAGTCTCGCGTCTGGAGTCCCAAGGCGGCAAAAAGTTCCAAGTGGGGACGCGCAGCCGGCGCAGCCAGGGTCCTCCGGTCGGTGGCCGTCCTCCGCAGCCCGGTCGGCGACTCGCGGTCAGCCTGGGGAGCGCCGCCCGGCGCAGGCTCGGGGCGCACGGGGAGCTGGGCGGACTGCGGCCCCCGCCTCCTCCGGGGACGCGGCACGGGACGCGGGGACGCGCGGACGCCACGCTCAGCGGCCGCCCCCGGCCTCCGCGCCGCCTTCCTCCCGGGAGCAGCCCCGACGCGCGCTGGCCCCGACCGCCGGGGTTGTCATGGCAGCAGCTCCATCCCTGACCGCCGCTTACTCCGGGTGCCGCCTCGGAGCGAGCCGGCGGGCGGGCGGCGGGGACTGCGCGCTCATCTTGGCGGGCGGGCGAGGGGCGCGGGACGCGGGCGCCCACCTTGAACCCCGCCGCGCCCACCGAACTGAAGATGCCTGCGGGGATGAGTCCGCACCGCGCCCGCTCCGCTCGGTCCCGACACCCGCGCCAGCCTAGAGAAAGCGGCGCCCCTCGTAGTGGCTCCCCCTGCGGAGGGGTGGGGTGTGCAGAGCGGGGAGGGAGAGGGGAAGGCGGGAGAGGGAGTTCTGAGGAAAGCAGCAAATTGAAAACTGACACTGGCACCTTCCCTCGCCGATGCCAGCGTAGAAGTTGCCGAACCCCGCCCTGGAGAGATGAGCTACCCTACCCACACCCGGTGGGGCACCGGTGTGTGTGTCCACCGCGCTGCGGCCGTCCCCACCCAGCCAAGTGCTGGCGCGCTGTCCCGGGCGGGTGCGCAGGTGGAGTGGACCCACCTCTGAGGACCCACGTTGGAAAAGCCCGTGCCCCTCCGCTGGATGTCTGTCCCCCAAAGTGGCAAATCTTAATTTCTCCTTACAACACAGCATGCAACACTCTCCCGGTCCTACACCTTATCGTGGCAAACAGCAAGAGCTGGGAAAAACACAGGCAGATCCTAAAAAGTACTAGGACTGATCCTCCTAAAATCCCTCACAGGAAGTGGCGCCTCAGTGGTGCTGGGAGGGGACTTGTGGTTCGGTTCTCTAAGAGGCCAGCCTCCCGGTTTCTTTAGTCTGGGATTTGCCTCTTCCCTCTCTAACCACCAGAGCTCCGCTTCCCTTGGGCCCCTCCGGATTCTCTGCTCCCCTGGCAGAAGCCCCCCCCACCCCGCCTTGTATTCTAATTTAGTGGTTGCTATGTGCATCTGCTGTACTGTATTTTTTCTCAGAGCCTTTTGTTAAATTAGACTGGGCTCTGCACAATTGGCAAAACGAAATTTAATTCAAAACTAAGCATTAAGCTCTTATTGTTTATTACTTTAGTTGCTGAAGGATACAAAAGCATACTATTTGCTTTCAGTTCTGAGAGACTGAGCACAAATAAAAACTGTCCCATTCCCCATTCTAAAAGGGTTGGCCCACATATATGTGTAGGTCTAAAATTTTTAATTAGAGCATCTTACCTAGAAGGGAGAATACTTATCGCTAATCATATCAGCTATAGTAAAACATATACGGTCATATGCCACTTAATGAAGGAGATACAGTCTGAGAACTGTCTTTAGGAGATATTTGTCATTGTGTGAATATCCTAGAGTGTACTTCCATAAACCTAGAGGGTGTGGCCTACCACACACCTAGGCTGTGTGGTGGAGCCTGTTGCTCCCATGCTGCTGTACTGAATACTGCAGGCAATTGTAACACAGTGGTAAGGATTTGTGTATCTAAACACGGAAAATGTGCAATAAAAATACGGTACAAAAGATAAACAATGGTACATCTGTACAGGACACTTGCTGCGGACAGAGCTTACAGAGCTGGAAGTTGCTCTGGGTGAGGCAGTGAGGCGGTGGGGAATGAGGGCCTAGAGCATTGCTGCACACCACCGTAGCCTTCATAAATGCTATGCAATTAGGATGCCCTCAATTTATAAAAATATATTTTTCTTTCTTCAATAATAATTTTAGCCTACTGTAACTTTTTAACTTTATAACCTTTGAATTTTTCTTAACTTTTTACTGTTGCATAATAACATTAACTTAAAACAAGCACATTGTGCAGTTGTCCAAAAATATTTTCTTTCTTTGTATCCTTATTCTAAGTTTTATTCTACTTTATTTCTTTTTAAACTTTTTTTTGCTAAAAACTAAGACACAAATACAAATACACACATTAGCCTAGGCCTACATAGAGTCAGGACTGCCTTCCTCCTCTGCATCTCCTCACACTGGAAGAGCTTCAGGGGCAGTAACGTACATAGAGCTGTCATCTCCTATGATAGCAATGCCTTTTTCTAGATACTTCCTGAAGGATCTGCCTGTGGCTGTTTTACAACCACTTTTTTAAGATAGGTAGCAGGAGCACACTCTAAAGATAGAAAGTATAGTATAGTAAATATAAAAACTAGTAACAGTCATTTAGGTTTGTTATGAAGTATTATGTACTGCACATATTGGCATGTGCTAGACATTCATTGGACTGGCCACGTAGTAGGTTTGTTTACACTGCCATAACCACAGACACATGAGTAACACTTTGAGCTGAGACATTAGGATGGCTACAGTGTCACTGGAGGATGATAATTTTTTAGTTCCATTGTAATCTTTTACATACCACTGTCACATATGCAGCCTGTCATTGACAGAGCATCGTCATGTAGTGCACCACTGGGTTAGATCCTTTCCAGAAAGCAGATATGATCAAGGTGGCAGTGGGGTCCAGCTCTCACTCATAAGCTCCTGGGGTACAAGGCTATGGGGAGTTGTGATTCAGAGAGGAGAGGCTGAGGGCTCAGAGAGCAGCCCCACAACATATTTTGGGATTTCCTACCAGCTTTCATAGCATATGTCTTTTCTCAAGACTTGAGTGAACCCGGGTTTCCTGATCGATTGACATTGTACTTGAACCTCTCAACTCTGTGAGTTCTGGTCCAGTATCACCAGACGGGAAAGGCTCTTTTCGTGCTTTAACCTGTGTAAAGCCAGAGAACCTGAGGCCGGGCTTATGAATTTCTTCAGTTGGAGGGTTTGGAGCTTGAACACAGGTGGGTGGCAGCCGTGGAGTTGGGTCAGGCTGCCCCTCAATGCCTGCAGCTGTGCCACTCCGTTGTAGGGTCTTCAGATCGCCTCCTCTCTCCTACACCTGCTGGTCTTATTGCTTCTTAGGAGACAAAAGTGGGGCAGTTGCTAAATCAACTCATAAAAGATTGCTGGAGACAGGAAGAGTTATTACAGAAAAAGAGAAAAGCTAAGATAGCATGAGACTCCCCATAGGAAAAGAATGGCTGAGGCAAGTAAAGAAGAACAGCAGAGATGGGTGGAAGTGAGGTGTAAATTTTCTTAGCAATATATAAGTGTTGCCATTGTGAAAAAATAAACCAAGTATCCCATTTTTTGCAGGACTGACTTCCCTGAAATAAGGTACCTGGAGTCCTGAAGAAGAGGACGTGTGTCTACTTTCTTCTGTAGCAGTGTTTCATAACTCAGTATTTCTGAGTGGATAAATGGGCTCAACTCATGGGCTAGCAAATCAGAGAAATGAGTGGAAAGGCCTCATGTCATGTTAATCTCTGTGAGCCTACAGTTGTGTGGGAGAGAGTTCATTCCCCTGTAGAACACTGCTGTGGACTAGTGTGTGCATTTATAGAATATGAGGCTGAGACCAAATTGACAATGGAAACAGAAAATGAACTGGGGCTCACAAGGAACGAGGACTAAGTACTTTATGTCAGAACTTTTCTATGAAATGCTTGGCTGAGTATCACGACAGGGTGGCCCCTAGGGAAACCCTCTCACATACGTGAAAACATATATAAAGACAAATTAACCTCATGACTAAGAGTGTAGCTTGGGTATTTCTTACCGGAAATGCTTGAGATCAGAAGTGTTTCAGATTTTGAATTATTTTTTTCCCATTTACATATTTTATTGCATTATAGGTTTTGGGGTACATGTGAAGAACATGCAAAATTGTTGCATAGGTATGCACGTGGCAGTGTGATTTGCTGCCTTCCTCCCCATCACCTACATCTGGCATTTCTCCCCTTGCTATCTCTCCCCAGCTCCCCACCCCCCCCCGTCCCTCCCCTATTTTTCCCCAACTGACCCCAGTGTGTAGTGCTCCCCTCCCTGTGTCCATGTGTTCTCATTGTTCAACACCCGCCTATGAGTGAGAACATGTGGTGTTTGATTTTCTGCTCTTGTGTTAGTTTGCTGAGAATGATGGTTTCCAGGTTCATCCATGTCCCTACAAAGGACCCAAACTCATCGTTTTTGATGGCTGCATAATATTCCATGGTGTATATGTGCCACATTTTCCCTGTCCAGTCTATCATCGATGGGCATTTGGGTTGGTTCCAGGTCTTTGCTATTGTAAACAGTGCTGCAATGAACTTTCGTGTGCATGTGTCCTTATAGTAGAACGATTTGTAATCCTTTGGATATATACCCAGTCATGGGATTGCTGGGTCAAATGGAATTTCTATTTCTAGGTCTGATTTTGAATTATTTTAAATTTTGGAATCCTTGCATTATACTTACTGTTAAGTATTCCAAATCTGAAAATCCCAAATTCAGTATGCTCCAGTGAGCATTTCCTTTGAGCATTCTTGTCTGTCCCCAAAAAGTTTCAGATTTTTGGATTTGGGATGCTCAGCCTATACTACTTCTGAAGTTGTTCTGTCTGCTGACTGACTTGTCATCTCTCTAGCTGCCTGGCTGCCACCCAGGAATACCTATCCCACCTGTGTTATAGGCTTTGAGGCTTCTTGACATGTACCCAAAATGTTTTAAAATCAAGGCTGGTAAGATGACAGACAAAGAGACAACTGCCTTGAAAGATGAGTTTATTCCTAACAGTTCCCAAGGGGAGGGGCACACCATGCCATGCTGGACCACCTGGGGAGGCACCAGCATTGCTCAGGAGGCAGGAGTGAGAGGAGGGCCTAGCATGGGATCTTTATTGTGATTTCCATGGGAATAAATAAGGGAGGCAAGGTAGGCAAACTTGAGCAAGCTTAGGATGGTAAAGTTTGAGTATTTCTGGCAGGCTCTGTGTTACGAGGCGGGGGGTGGTTGTAGTTGTTCTGTACCTGGCCCTGGGGTGATCTAGGGCAAGAGAAATATTGATTTGGTATGTGACCATTCAATAAAAGAAATGTCTGGGGTATGGGTTTTGGACGGATTGGTTTGCTCATACAGG